AACAAACAAAAAAAAGAAAAAATAAATAATAGACTCAATCAAAAAAAAAAAAAGCAGTTAAGGGTAAAGGGGGGAGGGGCTCCATGCCACAAGGATAGTGTCTGTCTAAGGGAGACAGCAGAACCCTCTGATTGTCTGTGTGCATGTATGAAAGACAGGCCATGTGAGAACCAGAGAGAAGCCAGCCATCTGCAAGATAGGAAGAGAGCCCTCACCGGAAATGGAACCGGTCAGAACCTTCGTCTTGGATTTCTAGTCTCCAGAACTGTAAAAAAATTAATTGGTATTGCTTAAGGCATCCAGTCGACAGTATTCTGTCATGGCAGCCCAAGTAGACTAAGACAATGATTAATAACACAAGGGTGTGGGGCTGGTGCTGTGGTGTAGCAGGGGAAGCCGCCACATGCAGAGCTGGCATCCCATATGGGAGCCGGTTCAAGTCCCCGCTGTTCCACTTCGAATCCAACTCTCTGCTGTGGCCTGGGAAAGCAGTGGAGGATGGCCCAGCTCCTTGGACCCCTGCACCCACATGGGAGACCTAGAAGAAGCTCCTGGCTTAAGAATGGTGCAGCTCCAGCCTTTGCGGCCAATTGGGGAGTGAACCAGCAGAAGGAAGACCTCTCTCTGCCTCTGCTTCTCCTTCCTTCTCTGTGTAACTCTGACTTTCAAATAAATGAATAAATGTTTAAAAAAATAACACAAGGGTGAGTAGTGAAGGGAAGGTTTCCAGCACAAGAGACCAGAGGGACGGTGGTGCCACTAACTGGGGTAGAGGAAGAAGAGAGACTTGTGGTCAATGGACCAGCTCTAATTACTCTATGCTTAGAAATTTGGTGTTCACCTCACTCAAACAAAGAAATATAGAAGTCAGTTATTTACATCCTGGCCATCAGGGAAACGCAAATCAAAATCACAGTGCATATCATCTCACCCCGTCAGAAAGGCTAAAATCCAAAAGGCAGAGAGTAACAAATGCTGGTGAGGATGTAGAGAAAGAACTCTTACAAACTGATGCTGGGAATGTAATTTAGCACAGCCACTGTGGAAAACAGTATGGAGATTCCTCAAAGAACTAGAAATAGACTTGCCATATGAACCAGCAATCCCACTTCCGGGTATATACCCAAAAGACATGAACATGTTGTATCAAAGAGATACCTCCACCACCATGTTCATAGCAGCACTGTTCACAAGAGCCAAGATATGGAATCAATCAAGGTGTCCGTCATCAGATGAATGAAAAAAAGAAAATGTGATATATACACAAAATGGAATATTATTCAGCTATAAAAAAAGAATCAAATTCTACCATTTGCAAGAAAATGTATGCAACTGAAAGACATTATCTTGAGTGAAATAAGCCAGACACAGAAAGACAAATACTGTATGTTCTCCCTTATCTGTGGGAGCTAAAATTCAAAAATAAAAAACAAAACAAAAAAATGCCTGTATATATCACTATTATTGCAAATACAATTTTATCAAAGCCCTTGACTGGTATGTAAATTAAAAATATATTATCTCAAAAACTAAACAAAGAAAGAGAAAAAGGGAGGGAAAGGGGGGGTGGAAGAGAAAGAGGGAGGGAGGGAGATGGAAAGACTCTTAAAGAATTGTTTAACAAGTTATTTTTAAAGGCAAGGAAGAGCAGCTCAGCTCGGTTTTCCTCTCCTAATCAATAGTGCAAACATGGAAATTGACCATGACGTTCTATGACTTGTAACCTGAGAACAACCACCTTGCTAATTATTCTACAGCTTCTATCCTCAGTAGATCTACTAAGCACTATTAAGTAATGGCCTGCAGAAGGGAATGCTTCTCCAACTTCAATGTACACATAGGCTACCTGGGGGTTTGCTAAAAGTGCAGATTTTCCTTCAGTGGATTTAGGGTGTGGTAGGAAATTCTGCGTGTATAATAAGTTCTCAAGTGACACTCTTGCTGCAGGTTCCGGGGCCACTCTAAGTGGCAGGGCTCTGAGCACATGAAGTGTCTTTCGAGGCATGGTATCTTCATCACAGTGGCCTATTTCTCTTGGGTGACCTACTTCACTACAGACTAGTAACCAACAAACACTGACAAGCCTTTTTCAGACCAGATTTAGAAGTTCTTCAGAAGGACTCATTCCTGATCAACATGAACTTTTTTTGAACAGCCCACTTTGTGCAAGGTGCTGGAGATACAAAGGTTAATAAGACAATTCCTGTTACTAAAGAGAGCTCTTACTCTTAACACCGGATGCTCTAGAGACTGGTAACTTCCAGGGGGTAGTTATCTTGTCTCCCCTGTTGCCTAAAACTGCTTAGATTCTCAATAAGCACGACACGGACAAATGAATGGGTTCACGGGAGTTTCGTTAAACACTACCTTAACTGCTCTCTATCTTAACTCACAGGTAAGAGGCGATTACGTTAGAATGAGGCCGTAGAGCGAGCCCTGATCCAACCTGGCAGACGTCCTTGTAAGGACAAGAAATTTGGTCACACAAGGAAACGCCAGGGGTTCATGCGCACAGAAGAAAGACTATGTCAGGGGACAGGAGGTGGCCACCTACAAGCCAGGGGGACGGGCCTCAGAAGAAATGGTCTTTGACCTTGGACTCTGGGCCTCCAGAACTGTGAGAAAATAAACTCCTGTTGTTTAAGCCAACCCAGTCTGTGGTGTCTTGTTATGGTGGTTGGAGCAAACTAAAACGGGTTTTTCACAGCTTTTGTACCCAGATCCAGGGGGCCGGCGCCGTGGCTCACGTGGTTAATCTCCGCCTGTGGCGCAGGCATCCCATATGGGTGCCGGGTTCTAGTCCCGGTTGCTCCTCTTCCAGTCCAGCTCTCTGCTATGGCCCGGGAGTACAGTGGAGGATGGCCCAAGTGCTTGGGCCCTGCACCCGCATGGGAGACCAGGAGGAAGCACCTGGCTCCTGACTTCGGATCGGTGCAGCACGCTGGCCGTAGCGGCCATTTGGGGGGTGAACCAATGGAAGGAAGACCTTTCTCTCTGTCTTTCTCCCTCACTGTCTATAACTCTACCTGTCAAATAAAAAAAAAAAATCTTTAAAAAAAAATACCTAGATCCAAGATCCTACTTCTGCAATGGACAAACAGTGTAAGCACTGTTAATGCGAGGATTAAGGGAGACAAACAGAAGAGGGTGAGACAGTAGCCCAGACTGGGCTTAAATAGCTACCACATACCCACTCCTCTCCCCTTCTCACGTTGCCAACTGTCTTAGTCCATTTTGTGTTGCTAATAATGGAATTACCTGGGATTGGGTAACTTATAGATAAAAAATGAAATGTGTTTCTTACAGGTCTAAAAGCTGGGAAGTCCGTGAGCATGGAATTGGCGTTTGGCCAGGGCCTCTGCTCTGTGTCCTAACATGACAATAAGGGCATTGAGCACACGAGTGAGACTGACACCGCAAACAGCCCAACTTGCTTTTATAAAAACCCACTCTCATGACAACTAATCCACTGCTGTGATGACAGCATTAGTCCATTTGTGAGGGGACAGCCCTCACCTAATCATCTCTTAACACTGTTAGGACAGCAATTAAATCTCAGTGTGAGTTTTGGAGGGAACATTCAAACCACAGCCCCAAGGCGAAGCCCACGGCTGTTCTCCTCCCAAATCTGAGACTGCGAGGAGCTTTCAGACACCACCCCGCCCCCAAACTTGACATTAACGTATTTCCAAAACATTGCAGCAGGAAGACGACCCCAGATTTCTTTCTTTATGTGAAGTCTTAGAGAGGACCTATGATGATAACATAATGAGATTGATTTGTTGGCCAAAAATGGATAAAAAGGCACAGTCAAATGAGAATACTGCTAGCCACAGGGAAGCTACATTTGAAGCCTGATTTTAAAGCCACAGAACTGCTTTGATTTTTTTTTATAATAAACATGCCAACCTATAGGGAGAAACGAGTGCTTCCTTCAAAAAGCTGTTCTGGAAAGTTCTACATTTACTGTAACCACATTGCTGTTCTCACATTATATCTGGAGTTGCTTTCAGGGTCTGTGAGATAATCTTTCAAATGCCCTCAGTGCTGACACTTGAAAGTCAATCTGATTTTCAAAAACAACCAGGAGTTCTATACCAATTTGAGAGAACCAGGGGACCAGTCAGTCAAACTGTGGGGTTCTGTGAGGACTGATTTTCCTTGAGTGAATTTGTACTCAAACCCCAGAAGGCAAAGCCAAAGACAAAGCCCTGACATGAAGTGAACGTGTTGTAAACACGACATCAAGCTGAAGGTGTGGGGGTGAGGGTGGGGAGGGCAAGGTGTGGGGGTGAGGGTGGGGAGGGCAGTGACTTCACTAAAAATAACCGCACTTGTTTGGAGGTGTTCTCTCCAGAACACTTAGGCCCAGATCCACCCTGTTTCATGGGACCCCAAGTTCAAGGACCTACTGCTTCAGTCCAATCTTGGGTATTCCACGTGTGTTGAATGGGGAAGAACGTCTAAGGTATCTGGAGCTTACTCTCCTTGTCTCAAAAGCAGAACTGCAAGGCTCTGGGGAGAGAGAAGTCTGCCCCACGTAAGGAACACACTGTCAGCTGCTGGAGCTGTCCAGCAACAGCGAGCTTGCTCTGACACTGAGCTCCCGGCGCTGGGAAGTTTAAAGCAGAAGCTGTTTGTGACGGGAACCCGAAGAGGTGCCCCCTGTAAGGGATGGGGGAGCTATGCAGTGACCTCCCAGGGTCGTCCTGAACCCAACCTGCACAACACCAGCAACTTTGCAGGCACTGGAAAACGCTAGTGGAACGGAATGGACGAGGAATATGGTGCATCTTGTGAGCCAAGAAGAGGAGCAGAGGCTGGGGCTCAGCCAGCTGCAAGGAAGGCAGGGAGAAACCAGACGGAAAGAAAGCGGGAGCCCAGAACCGGTGTGTGGCATGCAGGAGAGAAACAGCTTTGGGTAAACCGAAGCCTCACAGGGATAAGGAAGGGGATAGGAGTCGGGCAGAGGCGGGGAGCCGAGACAGACTCCTACTCACCCTTCTTAAACTCCTCCAGCACCGTGTCCAGCCGTGTATCGTTGAACACGCAGTGCAGGGGCCGGTTGTAGAAGCGCGTGACCGTGAGAAGCGGGGTGCAGTCGTCGGGGTCCACGAAGGCCAAGTCCTTGACAAACAGAATGTCCACAATGTTGTGCCGCTGGTCGCCCTCATAGACCGGGATGCGAGTGTAGCCGCTGCGCAGGATCTCGGAGACGGTGGCGAAGTCAAGCACCGCGTCGGAGCGCAGCATGAAGCAGTCCCCGAGGGGGGTCAGCACCTCCTCCACTACCTTGGTGCGCAGCTCCAGGGCGCCCTGGATGATGTTGAGCTCCTCCTTCACAAGGTCGCTGTAGGGGTCCGCCGCCCGTAGCGTCTCCAGCAGTTTCTCCCGCGTGTAGAAGGTGCTGATCTCCTGGCGCAGCGCCCAGTCCAGCAGGCGACCCAGTGGGTAGCACACGGGGAAGGCGGCCGCCATCAGGAGCCGGGTCAGGCACACGCTGTGCGACGCGATGGCCAGCCCGTGGCGCGAACACACTGAGTAGGGGCAGATCTCGGCGCCCAGGAACACGGCGCCCGTGCACACCAGCGCAGGCAGCCACGGGAAGTGAATCCCCGCCTCGATGTAGTCTTCCCCGGTGCCCCCGACGCCCGGCGGCAGCGAGGCGTACAGCCAGCCGGCCAGGGCCGCGTTGGCTCCGGCTTGGCCCAGGAGCAGGGTGCAGAGCAGATGGGTGCCCCTGCCGCGCACGGCCTGCACGCGGCGCGCCTGCTCCTGCTCGGCGGCCGAGCCGCTGTTCCGCAGCACCCGTAACTCCACCGGGTCCAGCGAGAGCAGGCTCAGGCGCAGGCCGCTGAACAGGGCGGACAGGGCCAGCAGCAGGAGCGCCCCGAGCGCCCGCAGCCACGCGGGGGGCAGCAGGTCCCCACCCGGGCCGTAGAGCCGCGGGCGGACGCGCAGCAGGAAGCCGCCGGCGGCGCCGTGGTGGTGCCAAGCGCGCCCATCCCAGGCGCACAGCGAGAAGAGCTTCCCGCCACCGCCCGCGCCGCCCCGCTCCGCCTCGCCCTTGCGCAGCTCCCGCACCCGCACCTGGACCAGGGCAGAGCCCGCCACGCCCCCGGGGCGCAGGGGCCCCAGGACTTCCACGTCCGACGCCCAGTCGCTCTGCTCCCGGCAGCGCTGCGGCCCCGGGGGCCGCGTGGGGACCGCACTGGGCGCCACGCCGCTCCCGCCCGGGGGCTCCTCGATAAACACGAGCCTCGGAGCCCAGTCGCCGGTGCCGTTCTCCCCCGGGGAGAGGGTGGGTGCGGGCACCGGCGCGGCGGGCGCTGAGGGCCCGGGCTGGAAATAAACGCGCAGGAGGAAGCTGGTGCCTTCGGCGGCGCGCAGGGTGCCCCCCTCCAGGGACACGCGGCCTCCAGCAGTGTCCTCAGGCCGCAGGCCCAGCAGCCAGGCGGCGGCGGCCGGGGGCCGAGGAGACAGGGAAAAGAAGAGCAGAAGCACAGCGCCCTGGCTGCAGCAGTCCCAGAGCCTGACACCCGGCGCGGCTGCCGCCGCCGCCGCCGCCATCCTGCACCCAGCGCGGCTGCACGTGATGCTGCAGAAAGCCGAGCAGGAGCCGGAGGGAGGAGGAGCCGGAGCCGGGAACCCGGCCCCAGGCAGGTCACCACGTGCGCGCCCCCTGCGCGCGTGGGCTGGAGGCGGTGGGGGCGCAGACCCTGCCTGGGCAAGGTGTCGGAGCCGGAGGTTGGAGATGGCCACGCATCCTGGTACCGCGCGTAGCGGGCGGACACACTTCGGTGTATCGGAGCTGCAGCCTGGGGAAGGCTTGGCTTGGCCTGGCCTCCCGCTCCAGCAGGACGGCGCCCTTCCGCGAACTCCTACCCGGCAGTAATTCCCTGCCCGCCCCACGGCTCCTTCATTGGTCCGGGAAATTTCCGAGTGTTTTGCTCCTCCCCTTACCACTTGGCGCTTTTCCTCCTGGTCAAAAGATGTTCTGGAATCTTGAATCGGTGAATACTTTTTAGCGTTTAGTCTCAAGTCCAGCTGTCCTTCACATGGTAAAAATTTCCAAATTATTTAAGTTCATTCCTGTTAACATCAGAAAATCCATCAATTAGAAACCGGAAATAAATGATGATACCACTGTGCAATGGAATACTATACAACAGGAAAAAAGAACGAGGAGACCCATTGCTTTGTGATGATGAAAATCTACAGTAGTAATGGGAAAACAGGAAAATGCAGAACAATGTGCACAATTGCCATTTGTGTTAAAATTATGTATAAATTTATATGTATGTATAATACATAAATACACATACATAATAGATTCAAAATGCAGAGGATACACAAGACATGTCATAGTGCTTACCTCTAGAGATCAGGATAGGAGTCTGGAAGAGACTTTAAATCAGGAGAATCTTTAAGAAATCATATGTTAATAAGAAGTTGTACTTTCCACTCAGTTCCCCCAATGGTTATATCTTAACCATAATATAATCTCAAAAACAGAAAATTCACATTGGTTTAACGTGTGTATATAGTTCTATGTAATTTTATCACATGTTGGTTTATGTAATTACCACTGCAATGAAAATACAGATTTATTTTAACACCACAAAGATAGAGGGAAAATTTTTTTTTCTACTGAATTCCTTGTATTATTTGAATTTACCATGGGCCTGTATTACTTTATTATAGACATTTAAAATTATTTTTATTTGTTTGACTGGTAGGGAGGGGGAAACAGCTTTCATTTGCTGGTTCACTCCTCAAATGCCTATAATAGCCCAGATTAGGCAAAGCCCAAGCTGGAAGCCAGAAACCCAATCTGGGTCTCCCATTTGGGTGGCAAAGACTCAACTCCTTGATTCATTACCTACTGCCTCCCTAGGTTCTAATCAGCAGGAAGCTGGGATTGGGAGCAGGGCTAGTTGGAACAGACACTCTGACTATGGGATGTGGACGACTTGCTAGGCTAAATGCCCATTCCTATTTTCATGTATTTACTTTTAAAATTTATGTGGTAAAAAAAGCTGTCCTAAGAGCTTTGACAAATACTCATTCAACCATCATAATAAAAAACAGTTCCACTTGGGCCATCTTCTGCAGCTTTCCCAGGCCATGATCAGGGAGCTGGATCAGAGTGGAGCAGTGGGATATGAATTGGTGCCCATATTGGATGCCCATGTCATAAGTAGTGGCTTTTACCCACTATACCACAATGCTGGCTCTGTAAGGATTATGTTTTTTATTTTTTTATTTTTATTTATTTATTTTTTGACAGGCAGAGTTAGAGAGAGAGAGAGAGAGAGAGACAGGTCTTCCTTCCATTGGTTCACCCCTCAAGTGGCCGCCACGCCGGTGCGCTGCAACCGGTGCACTGTGCTGATCCGAAACCAGGAATCAGGTGCCTCCTCCTGGTCTCCCATGTGGGTGCAGGGCCCAAGGACCTGGGCCATCCTCCACTGCCTTCCTGGGCCACAGCAGAGAGCTGGACTGGAAGAGGAGCAACTAGGACAGAATCCGGCACCCCCAACCGGGACTAGAACCCCAGGGTGATGGCGCCAACGGCGGAGGATTAGCCAAGTGAGCCATGGCACTGGCCAAGGATAATGTTTTGATATGTGTATACTACACTGTGAGGTGATCAAACCTGGGTAATTCGCATATATGTCACCTAAATATTTTTCTTTTCTTTGTGGTGAAAATATTTAAAATCCTCTCTTACAGATAATATGTCATTTTTAAATACAGCTACCTTGCTGTGCAATGAAACACCGGGACTTAGTCCTCTGATCTAACTGTATTTTGCACCTGTTGATCCATCTCTTCCCTCTCCCTGTGCAGCCTCTCCCAGTCTCTGCTAACCACCACCCTACTCTCTATTTCTATTTGCTCAACTTGTTTTACATTCTACATGAGTAGAATGCAGATAATACAGTATTTGTCTTTGTCGCCTGGTTTATTTCAGTTAATATATGTCCTCCAGGTTCATCCATGTTACTGGAAATGCTGACAGAATTTCCCATTGTTTTATGAATGAATAGCATTTCCTTTTACATATACCCCATTTTAAAAATGTATTCATCCATGGATGGGCACAGGTTGTTTACAGGTCTTGGCTAATGTGAATAATGCTGCAGTGAACACAGTAGTGCAGATGACGCTGGTATTGTCAGTTCCTCTGGGTGGAAACCTAGCAGTGGGATTGCTGGATCATGTGGTAATTCTATTTTTAGCTTTTTGAGGGAACTTTATATGGTTTCCCCAAATGGCTACACAAATTTACATTCATTACTCATTTTTAAAAAGATTTATTTATTTATTTATTTGAAAGTCAGAGTTACAGAGAAAGAGGGGAGAGAGATCGAGAGGGAGAGAGAGAGAGAGAGAGAGAGAGAGAGAGAGAGAGAGTTCTTCCATCCGATGGCTTACTCCCTAATTGGCCGCAACGGCCGGAGCTGTGCTGATCCGAAGCCAGGAGCCAGGGGCTTCTTCCAGGTCTCCCACGCAGGTGCAGGGATCCATGGACTTGGGCCATCTTTCACTGCTTTCCCAGGCCATAGCAGAGAGCTGGATCGGAAGTGGAGCAGCCAGGTCTCGAACTGGCGCCCATATGGGATGCCAGTGCTTCAGGCCAGGGTGTTAACCCACTGCGCCACAGTGCCAGCCACTCATTACTCATTTTTTAAAAGATTTATTTATTTGTTGAATGGCAGAGTTACAGAGAGGCAGAGAGAGGGAGAGAGAGAGAGAGAGAGAGAGAGAGAGAGAGAGAGAGGTCTTCCATCTTCTGGTTCACTTCCTAGATGGCCACAATGGCCAGAGATGTGCTGATCTGAAGCCAGAAACTTCTTCTGGGTCTCCCGTGCAGGTGCAGGGGCCCATGGACTTGGGCCATCTTCTGCTGCTTTCCCAGGGCATAGCAGGGAGCTTGTTCGGAAGTGGAACAGCCAGGACTTAAACTGGAGCTCATATGGGATGCTGGCACTGTAGATGGTGGCTTTACCTGCTATGCCACAGCGCCAGCCCCTCATTTTAAAATCCCACACTTGTATGTGTGGTGGAGTGGGACATAGTGCAGTGATGAGGGGCAGGTACTGTGACCCAGATAGCCTGAGGTCAGCTTCTGGCTCCGTCTCCTCCTGACTGTGACAGCCGCAGCTTCTGCACCTGTAGACAACACTTGAAGTCAAGGACAGTGTATGGAAAGTTGGATTAATGTGCTATCTGTTATCTGAACACACTCTTCCAGGTCCATCTTTTCAAGTTCATGACACTTTCTAGCCAGAGTGGTGAAGCCCACATCTGTTAACTGCAAACATTTTGCCACTTCTAATATTCTTCTTTTTTTTTTTTTTTGACAGGCAGAGTGGACAGTGAGAGAGAGAAAGAGAGAGAGACAGAGAGAAAGGTCTTCCTTTTCTGTTGGTTCACCCCTCAATGGCCGCTGCGGCCAGCGCGCTGCGGCCGGTGCACCACGCTGATCTGAAGCCAGGAGCCAGGTGCTTCTCCTGGTCTCCCATGGGGTGCAGGGCCCAAACACTTGGGCCATCCTCCACTGCACTCAAGGCCACAGCAGAGAGCTGGCCTGGAAGAGGAGCAACCGGAACAGAATCCGGCACCCTGACCGGGACTAGAACCCGGGGCGCCGGTGCCGCAGGCAGAGGACTAGCCTATTGAGCCACGGCTCCAGTGGGCCACTTCTAATATTCTAAGCTGTGGGCAGTTCTGACCTAGAGCACTCAGGATGGCATCTGTGACATTGGAGCAGCCACACGTATAGAGAGACTTTAACTTATGGCACCCTCTGCAAATAGTGATGAGACCTTCATCTGTGATTTGTAAGCAAGTCTGCAAGTTCAAGGTCACCAGTTCAGGGCAGTGTGCACCTATATATTTCAGAGTTTCATCTTCTAGCTGTGTGCAGCCTTTCAAGAATAAGGCCTTGAGACCCCTACAGCCTCTCACTAGTGTCTGAATGCCATCCTTGGTTATATGGTCACACCAGGAAATGTTCACTGCTCCAACAGCAGACACCTGTCACTCAGTGCTTTTAGAGACATGTTTGTTATTGATGTACAGGAAGCAAAGTCAAGGTGCCTGAGTTTGGAACAGAACTTGCTAAGGCTACTACATCCACATCTGCAGTCTTTGTACATCCATTTAGATCCAGTACTTCATTATTCCTACAGTTTTGTGCAAAGGTCCTTAATGCATTGTCTCCCACTCCAAGACACTCACAAAGACTTAACTTTTGTAAAAAACTCCCACATCATTTTGAAATATTCTCCACTACACGGCCCTCAGTATCCCTCTGGAAATCAAGCAGATCAATGCCAGTTACTTCCACCCAGAGCCAGGACATTCCAGGCCATGGAGACTTGAGCACAGCGACACAAGGTAATGACTTCCAGAAAAGAAAATATCTGTAATAGTAGTTCTTTGGGAAGTTTTTTTTAATATTAAAAAAATTTGGGGGGGGGGTAGTTTTTTATTGATTACAGCTTCATTGCTATTTGAGAACATCTGCTCTTGGTCATTTTGTTCAGGTCCCTCCTCATGGGGCCAGGCTGGGCGCTGCGGCGGCGTGCGGAGTGCAAAGACAGGGAGCCTAGGGCAGGCCCCGGAGTTCCTGGATGGGGAGGCAGCAGGCTAGGGCAAGGCCCTGGTGGTGGACAGGGAGGAGAGACCTCTGGCTCCAGCGGGGCCTCCACCACCTCCTGCAGTGCGCCTGTGGCTGTGAGGACTGCTCCCATTCATTACTCTTTAAAATGTAAAAGTAGGTACCAGCGCTGTGGTGCAGCGGGAAAAGCCACTGCCTGTGGCACAGGCATCCAATATGGGTGCAGTTTTGAGTCCTGGCTGTTCCATTTCTGATACAGCTCCCTGCTGATG